CCACTCTATTATTTCTAGACGCTTGTATATTGTGACGATTCAGTCGATGACGTTTATGTGGACAGGGAATAGAGAATAAGCTCGATGACGTTCACTCTGGGCCCCTCTTCCACATCCGCACAGACATCCATAAGCACTTAGGCCTCCTCGTTCTTGGAATCTACAATCACCAACGGGGACGACTTCGTTAAAGCATTAATATTTGCTTGGGTGCGATGCGGTGGCGTGACTCTAGCTGTCAGGTCGGGAAAGGGTTAATGACACAGGACGGTGGAAACAGCAATATTTCACCCTCCACTAAAACTCACCTCTACCGGGTGATTCATAGCAGACGCAGGTGTGGGCGGGTTTGCCTTTCAAGGGACTATGGCGCATTACGGGCAGAGCGGGTAGGCAAACCCGCCTGCACCTGCGTCTTCTGTGAATCACCCGGTACGTAAAACACAAGGTTGGTCAGTCAAACCCACTTCGTAAACATGTTTTGCGTGTACATTTTTACACACTTCTGTCTGCAACTCCCCCGCTATCGAGGTGAAACGCAACAGGGTTTCCCTTTGAATATTAATAGAGGGAACATCGACCATCACGCGTAAGGGCAACGGACCTTCCCCTCCAACAAAGTTTTACCAGATCAATTTTTGTTTAAAATCCCCGCGCCGTAGTTTCGCGGTATTGTTTTGGATCCCCTGTTTTTTCTTTAAAGGTTCGCCTAGTATTTCGGAGGTACCAACCGCTCTACGTGATGGATGTGCTTACCGATAGCGGCGTTATTGTGCTCATTGACATTCTACAGGTGGACTGCCTGCGGCGGGCCTCCGGCGGGCCTGCGGTGCGCGGCGCGGCTTTGAGAGAGGAAAGGCAGAGGGCCAGAAAACGAACGGGCTGTGTGTTAGTGTGCGCGTGTGTTGGTGTTAGTGACTGTATGTGTGTGATATTCTGTTATACTGCCATTCTTCCCCCAGGCAAAGCTCTCCATGGACTTGGCCAACTTTCAAAAGCCAGTTCATAAAAAGGCCACCCCGCGCCCATCAACGAATACTGAGTTGGTGATCTGCGCCGTCCTTTTCAGCAAATGGCATTTTTCTGGTTAAATTTCGTGTTCCGGATTTGGCACGTACAGGTTGCATATTTGCACGGGGGCGTAAGGCGCAATGGTGAGCGACGGTATAGGCATAAGCCTGCCTGTCTCCACAGAATAACCAGAAAAAAGACCCTCTAATTGTGTTCGAGCAGGGCGGCTGTCCTGTAAATATATATTTGTTTACATCCTATTTTTTTAATGTAATTTTTGATTATTTTTTTTAAAGGGAAACTGTGGGGCGCTTGGCGATATAATGTTTTAAGGTTTTACTGCGAAAGCGCCCCATTCTCGCTATGAATGAGGCGCCCAGGAAGCGTGGGGGCGTAGGGATCCGTTTGCCTCCCAGGTGGCCTGTCGACACGCGTCCACACAAAGAACGGATTCACATTTATATTCACATTATTCCCAGTCAATGCTTCCGCGCGCTCGCGGTAATGTATTCGATTTGTTGGCTTTTACGGTGCAGGTCTCGTCCGCGGCGCGGCGGGGGACTTGGGGGGTGGGGCCGCGTTTGGGGCCGCCGCCGCGCGCTCTGTGGTGGGCGGGGGTGTTTACCTTCCCTCCCTTGGTCCAGTCCCTTGAGCTGGCCTGGCGGAATGCCCCCGCAGATTTATGATGTTTGCTTCTCCCTGGCTCAACGGCTACTGATGTGTGACCACCAACAACCCCCTTCCCCTCCCCCATTGTGCTCTCGCTGAGCCCCCCAGGGGAGGGAATCATTTTCCCCCCTCGGGTCCTCCTGGCTCTCCTCGGGAAGGACGTGAGAGACACACGCTGTGATCGCTTACCTGGGCCGCACTTGGAGAGGTCGTGGACGGGCGATCCTGGTCCGCTGGACAGCGACTCGTCCCCGGAGAGGGCGGGCGACGGGCTGGACGCGGAGGCCGAGACCGGGCCGAGGCCAGGGAGGCCCGGGGGAGAGCCGTCCTGCGGCCTGAGCCCGCCGAAGGAGCCAAGGCCGTAGGAGGGGAAGGGGTGGGGCGGCTGCTGCTGCTGCTGGTCCTGCAGGAAGTGCAGCGGCAGCCACGAGTGGTAGAGCAGCGCGAGCGGCAGCCCGCCCGGCAGCCCACCGGGGAGGCCCCCGGGCAGCCCACCCGGCACCCCGGGCAGCACGTGCGGGGGCAGGCCGGCGGGGCCCGCGGGGTGCAGCAGCGGCTGCGGCAGCGAGTTGTTGTTGACCATCTTCCTGCTGTAGTCCACGACGAACGGGTTGTCCCTGGCGTCATCGTCCTCGTCGGCGCTGCGCTCGCCCACCAGGTCCAGGGGCGCCGTCCTGTCGCCGCCGGCGTCCTCGCTGACCCCCAGCCGGCACAGCACGCTCACCTGGCTGGGGTGGTCCCGGTCGCGGAGGCTGGTCGAGGCGATGAGGGACTCGATCGAGAAGGGGCGGAGCTTGCGTGCCGACGGCGGCGACGTCTGCACGGGGCTGCTGGAGCGGCGTGAGGCCGGCGACGGCGACCTCGGCAGCGGCGGGCTAGGGGCGGCGGCGGCCGCGGGGGCCGTGGCCGTGAGCGCCATGGCGGGCTGGGCGTCGTCGGGAGTGCGGGCGGCTCGTGGCTGCTGGTCCCGCGGGGGCGGGGGCGTCGGCCGGGGGCGGCACTCCAAGCTCACCGCGTCCATGGCATGGCTGCGCTGCAACAAGAACAGACCCCAATTACACGACTGCTTTTGTCCCCGCGGGTCGGGGTGGCGGGGGCGGCACTCCAAGCTGATCTCGTCCCTAGCATGGCTGTGCTGCGACAGCCCCAATCACATGCGGGTCTGGGTGGCGGGGCGCGGGCCCCGGGTGGGCCGCCCGCGTGGCGCTGCGCGGCGGCGCGCATCACCGTCGGGGCCGCGGGGGCGTAACGTAATGGGCCGCGGGGGCGGCCAACGGCTCGTGACAGACACCTGCGGAGGGGACCGAAGGGGACCGGCGTCAATGTTTCACTGGTTTCACGCCGCCCCGCCCGTACCAGCCTGCGGACGACGTTGTGCTGCAGCCTTTCGTGTACTATTTCAGATAGTGGATAGGACACGCCGGTAGTGGAGGCAAAGCTCGACCAATGAACAAGGTTTATGATCTACCCGTTAATCTTCCTACCATGTTATTCGGCTAATTTTATTCATTTTTCCACACTGCTGTTCCGCCCAAGCTTTCGACAATTTCTGACCATATTGAGCGGGGAGGGTAAGAGCTTGCGGAGAACGTTTCTCTACACGAGTGCATATGGTAAAGTGGAGCAATTTCATGTCTCATGCCGTGTGTGGAATCGCATCCGATCGGTTGTAGTGCTGAGATTCCGCTCAGCGATTTCACGACAGGCGCCCCTGCCACGCGGGCGTCTCGCGTAAGTGAGACGACGAGAGCGTTTTTCTCGCCTCGGTGGCGACGGAGGGGCCGCCAGGGAGGGGAGGGGGTTGGGGCAGGGCACGCTTGGTTTGGGGCGGGACTGGTGGCGGCGGCGACTCGACGTGAAGCCCCCCTCCCCGGGACACTTCCAAGAGGGAGGACAACTTTTCGGAGAGTTGCGCCAACTGTAGCAAGTATCGTTCGAATACCGGGGGGGGGGGGGGCTGCAGCAGCCCGATGGGCACCGATCGTCGGGTCGAACCAGTTAGTTGGTGCCAGAGGTATCTCGGCTGGCACTTATTTGGCACGGGGCTGCGAACCGCACGCGTCTTAATAATTCCGCGAGGATGAATTTCCCGCGTCGTCTGCGTCGGGTGCCAGGCGTCGCCTACAGCTTCAGCCGACCGCGCAATGGTCGGGAAACACACCATCG